GTTTTAATCACTCGTTTTAAGCAGGAATGTGTAAAAAAGTAGAGAAGCCACCTTCGACAGAAACAGGCTTAGTATGATGGGCCATCCACTGTGTGACCGGCTGGGGCTTAGAGGATAGAAACAGAAAACAACACAGAACCACAGAACCATTAGGAAAGAAAGACAAAAAAAACTAACCAGCTTTAATGGCATTAACACCTCAGTGACTGAGCCTGGAAATTATGGCTTTTGCCCATCGCCTACTAAGCTATTTCTTTGTGCAAAAACTACAAACGATGCAATATTTGTTTGTTATGGGTTGCTAAAGCTGTAGGTATGTGTACGTAAATTGAAAAAATAGAATATGATTATCTGTAATGTTTTATAATGCTGTTTCACTTCAAGTTAGTCTAAACTTTTTGAAAGTGACTGGAAATGGAAGTAATGGGACTTAAATTATCTGTCTACTTAAAGCTTTGTTGAGTCATCTTCTAGTTACCGAAACACTTATTTCCCATATTCTCCAATCTATTGTATATTTCCTCATTTCCTTGTTTTTACATTCTGGTAATTTATGTATTTTTTGTTTCTGTCAGGGCATAGATTATTAGAAGTTATTGAAAGTTTTGGAGAGGCTCCCACAGATCAAACATTGCTGTGTAAGCTGAGAGCTTCTATTGCAGGAAATTGGATTTAATCCAAAGTAGAAGCTGTGCTTCCTTTGCACTGTTTGCTGCAGTCCTGCTTTTCCATAATCCTCATTTAAAGCAAGTTATTGTTTCAGCTCTCAGTCGCTCCTCTAATTTCCTTGTGCATTGCAGTTCTGGACAGGAATGTGCAGCAACAGCAAAAATAATACCATGAATAGTGAATTATTTGGTACAGCAAACATTCAGAAATAAAATCCTCTTTTGCATTAGAATTACCAAGTGATTATGGAAAAGCAGCACTTTGCGTGTTTGTACACACTGAGTATATTCACATTCATTATTGGCGTGAAGCTCAGGTTACCGACATGGGAGCATCCTTTGTTTTCAGGCCAGAGTGCCTCCTGATGACAGGTGTTATTCTTTGGGATGCTGAGGTTGCTCTGTGATCAGCTGCCAAGCTGTGAGGAAGTCGCTTTCTAATTATCCGCGGTCCATCGAAGCCTGTGGAGACCTATTCATACCTTAGGTGGTAATTGTTACACAAGTGTGTTAATGGCCCGAACTGTTCGGAGGGAGGTCTCTTTCACTGTGCAATTTGCCCGTTACAGCCATGAGGAAGGGTGACGGGTATGAGAACGGCAGAAGGTTAAAGCACTTATGGCAATATGTGTCTGTTATGTTATGTGACATTTTTCAGCTTAGTCTGGCTGCAATCTTTCCATCCAATTTTCTACATTGTGGACAGACCATTACCAAACATCTCTGCAGAAGTTTTCAGCAAAGCACAGCAGTCTTCTTTAATTTCAATGCATTTATTTTGTATATTAATGGATAATGTTTCTGTATTGACACAGATGTTGTCTGGCCAAGATGCAACTCAATAGTCATTGTAGAATTACTCAAATCATTATGTTAGGTATTTTTCTTTTAGGGTTTGGATTCAGGAGGGTTATGCTGTCAATGTGAAAACACTCACTAGCCTCTCAACCTCTAATATTTTACCTTCCAGCAATAAAACTTCTTTTGTTCTAACAGTATTATGAAAACTTTTGTACTTGAAATGATTCCATTCATAAATTACGAGCATACATTTTAAGAAGGTAAAAGAATATATGTTAAAATTTTACTTTTCTAGAAAAAATGGCCCAAATTAATAGAAATAGGGATGTACACATTATTGTTATCAGATTTTTTTAGCTGATGTTCACTATACCATTTTAGAATTCAAAAATCAAAATCCTAATAAGTTATACTGACATTTTTGGCTTTAAAGTGGCTAAAATGTGAAAATGTTAAAAGCATATCTTTGGAAAAGTAGAGAGGATGTGATTGGAATCGTTTTTCTACTGTTAAAGAAGAAAAAAAAAACTTCTCTGCATTTTTTAAAACTGGAAGTGGAAAAAAAAAATCCTTTAGATCATAAGAATCTAAGGATGTTCAGCTGCAGTGGAGAATATGTACAGTAAAATATATGAGAACCTTCAGTAAGCACCTTGTTTACTGCTGAAGCTTAGAATAAATGAGCAGCAGTTAAATTTAAGTAAAGATGATAGCATAGTGAAGAATAACAGATGATCAGGCTCTAACGCTGCAGGAAAATAAATGATCGACAGCTGAAGACAGAGGCAAAGATATATTTTTTTTTCTGATGAAATAACCTGAAGATTGTTGGAACATCTGGTGAAATATTTGTTCCCTGAAGTAACTACATGTAGGCCTGTATCATCCAAGAAGCAAAATATTTTTATATAGAGAGCATGCTTGCTTGCAATGTTAAATCCTAAAATTAATCATAAATGAGGATTTTGCAACATAAAAAAATCACAAAACAAAACCAATGAAAAATGATAAAGAGGTGGCTTCAATTTGGGAAAAAAAAACATTCTCAAAACTGAACACAAACCAGCATTTTTAGATATTTTTTTCTTTTTCTGGTTGTTTTTGTATTGAGTTGCTTTACTTTCTAAAACTAGGATGCATTTTCATTCCTATCTGTGCAGTATGCAGATGAAACACTGGAGGCTTGTGACCTGGAGGTGAATTAATCAACCAATTCACACAGGACAGAGAATCAGTGAAGTAGAATAATATTGAACTTTTCATGGTGGCAGCCCATCACAGAAGAGGACATTGTGTAATTATAAGCCGACTATCGGAACCATTGGATTCTGAATCCTGCACCAATGAGATAAAAAAAAGGGAAAATCCCCATAAGTAAATATTGGCTTTTATATGTAAATATGTCTTTCTATAACTTGACCAAAGCAATAGTAAAGGCAAGAGCATGTTTATGGGGCAAGATATAAACATTCACAAACACACATTATATCATTCATGTTAGGATTAAATGCAAGATACGAGATAGAACATAGTGATGTCGTATAAGAAATAATGTTTCTTATAATAAATATAATTTAGTAAACACAGTAATTACATTTACTAAAAATGTATTGACATAAAGATTTTTTTATACATTACCAAAGATAATCATTTAGATTATGTGTTTTGGTTATCTTTAATCCAAGTAATCCAACTTTTTTTTAAATAGCACAAAGCATTTGCAGCAATGTAAATAGTTTCTAATGTTTTTTACTTTTTTCATTCAGAATGAGAGCTTTAAAATATTCCAGTCATCCAACTTTTTTTTAAATCCTTTTTCTAATCCTTAAAGCAAAAAGCCCATAAGTTTAGCTAAATACATATGTTTATATATTTTCCACAATCACAAAATTCATTATAAACATAATGTCACAGCAATGAGCCAATAACAAGTGAATTTCATCTCTTCTATGCGCTGCTAACATAGTCTGTTCTGATCAAGATCTTACCCACGGTAACATGTTGAATACTTGAAGTGGCTCCAATTAATAGAAGCCTGACCTACTTTCTAATTAATTCAGCTAACCATTTGTCTAGTTGGGTGAACTCAGTATTTCTCTTAGTTAATACATAGCTGCAGTATTGTTTTTTGACAGCCATCTTAGATTAGGCTTAATTTTAATCTACAGGACAAAAGCTATTACGGTAGTTTTATTCATCACGATATGTGATAGCTTTAGTCGGTTTTAGTCGACTAAAGTTGTTCCACTTGTGCGGCACTCATCTCAGCTGCGTAGTTGTGATTTCACATAAGATGGCAGTAGAATTGCAGAAAAGAATAAAAATATATTCAGAGGT